ACCCACCCCCCACCCCCACAAGATTTGAAAGTATCTTGTCACCTTATTGGTCCTTTGGGTCAGATGCCAGCCAGGTTACCTGAGCTTCTTAACCCTTTACAGGGAAAAGGATTTTGGAGTCTCTGGCCAGGAGGGATTTTATAGTACTGTACACAGGACAGCTGTTACCCTTCCCTTTATAGTTATGACATGGCAGCCAGATGAACATTGATTGAGCTCAGCAATAACCCTGTGTTTTTTAAGTTTAGCAAGTAATCGAGAATGCGTGTCATGCAGAACTCAAGAGGCGGCTGCACCAGGCCCGGAAGTGTTTCCACATCTGCAGCTAAGTTTTCCTTGTCATGGATTTTCTACTATTAAGCAGGACTGTTTGTACTCCCACAAATGCCTCCATTTGCCCAAATTCTGGAAGTGTGTGTCCCAGCCTATCATGGAGGCATCTGTGGGAGGAAGCTGCAAGAATGAAACTCCCTGGCATAGCTTTTGTGGCTCCTTCCATCACTTTAGAAAATCAAATACCCTCTGAGGTATGGACATCCACTTGGATAGACTGTGCTTGTTGGGGTGGATAGTCCTCAGCCATGCTTGCAGACACCAGGAGTGTAATCTTGCTAAGGGTATCACAAACGTACAGGCTGCCATATGGCCCAAGAGTTGCAGGCAAACCCTTGCTGGGGTTTGAGGTCTTTGTCTTACTGTTGAAATGAGGCTGGACATTGTGGCAAACCTATCCATGGGTAAGTATGCTCTGGTGGGGGAGGAGTCTAGAATGGCCCCAATGAAGTTTATAAATTGAGTGGGTATGAGTGTGGACTTTTCTGCATTGAGGCAACGGCCCAGGGAATGAAACAGAGATATTGCTGTGCTCGTTGCTGTCTGTACCTCAAAAAAGGAGTGATCTTTCAGGAGCCAATCATCCAAGCAGGGAAATACAATTAGTCCCATCTGACAAAGCTGGGCTGTGACATCAAGAGGACATTGGTAAAGATCCTTGAGGTGGTGGAAAGGCCTAGGGTAAGACATGATACCGGTGGTGGTCCCTGCCCACCACGAAATGTAGGAAATGTCAGTGGGAAGGGTGCATGGCTATATTAAAATAAGTGTCCTTCCAGATCTAGGGAGGGAATTATAGCTGATGGGGTTACTATTCTGAACTGTTGAGTGTGGACAAAGGTGTTCAAAGTCCTGAGGCACAGAATAGATCTTCACACTCCATTTTTGTTTGGGAGCAGGGAGTACTCAGAATTGAAACCTTTCCCAATGAAGTCCAGTGGAACAATTTTGTTTGCCCCCAGAGTTAGGAGGGATTGTACCTCCTGCCTCAAGAGATCCTTGAGAAACAGGTCTCTCAAGGGGAGTGGGGAGGAGGGGCAGAAAGGACCTGAACTTGATAGTGCATCCTGTAGAAAACACCTCCAAGATCCATGTGTCTGAGATGATGAGTTCCCAGTAAGGTAGAAAATGGGAGAGATGATTCCCATAAGGGTGGAGAGGGGATAGGTGCACCATAGGATCTAGAGTGGAAGATAGTTTGTGACTCTCAACTAATGGGTCCAAATGATGATTTTGAAGAGGTCGCTGACTGGGGAGTCACAGTAGACCTCTCTGGTTCTTTTTTTTTTTTTTGGAAGGTTCAGCCAGTCTCGTGGCTGACAGTGGACAGGGTGAGTGTGTTGAACCATCTGGGATCTATTGTAGTTTCTCTCTGTCACAAGTATATAGATGCCCAGAGATTATAGTGTTGCCTGGGAATCTAAGTGAATGAAGGAACCTGACTGTGGCATCACTGGATAATTTAGGCCCCACAAAGGGAAGGTCCTTGACAGTGTTTTGTACCTCCCAAGGGAGGCTGGAAGACTGCAGCCAAGAAGCTTGGTGTATGACACTGCCATCGCCATGGAATGTGCAAGTGTATTGGAGGCTTTGAGTGAGGTCTGGAGACACATACTGATAACTGTCTGGCCTTCTGTTAATGAGGGTTTGGAATTGTTCCCTCTGCTCCTGTGGCAGGTTGTAACGGGGTTGGCACCCGCCTCTCATGAGTGCCTCTTCTGGTCAGATGTGAGCCTGCTGTTTCTCTGTTTGGAACAGGGTTGCACCCACCTCTCGCGAGTGCTCCCCCTTGGTTTATTGTTTCTTTGGCGGATCTTCAGTGACTCAGCCCTCCGACCGAGTCTCTCACACTGTCTGTAGATGGAACAAACAAACCTCTTCTGAGGTATACAGTTTCTACCTTCCCACAGCCCTGGTATGGGGCCAGGCCACTAAGGCTTCCTCCCTGAAGACACTACCTTCTATAAAAGTCCAATGGGGCCCATCGCAGTACCCTCAGTTGGTGTGTCCTTTTCGGCAGTCCTCCCTGGGCTTTGTTTCTAACCAGACCAACAAGGCCCATCGTGGAACTCACTTGATCTGGCTAAGTTCTGGGATCAGTCCTTACTCAGTCTCCACAGCCAGCCAAGAGCTCCTTCTTAGCTCCCCTGGTCTTTGGCAGCCCTCCCTGGACTCAGACCTGCCCGCTCTGAGCTGTCTGTGCCAGCCAGGAACCTGGTCATCCCTCTTCCAGTTCCAGGCAGAAACTGACTGCTCTGTCTCTGTTGCTCCTTTTTATATGGCCTTCCTGACCCCTGGTTGGCTGCTCAAGCAGCCCCTCTAGACCACCTAGAGGAGTTCTCCTCTACAGGGGGCCTCCAGACTTAGTCCACCCCATCACACAGGTGTTCAATAAAAGATGAAAACTTTGAATAGTTTGTAAAATCATATATTGTCATTAGGGCTTGGAAATTACCTACTCTGAACTGCAAAGAGGCTGAGGAGTAGCTCTTGTGGCCCAGAAGATCTAGCTGTTTCAGCTCCTTGTCTGATGGTGTCAAACAGGACCGATGTTGCCTGTTTCATTCGTTGATGGCCTCAACTACCATGGAATTAGGTGTAAGGTGGGAGAAATAATACTCAGTCTCTGGGTGGAATATACAGTAGTATTTTTTTCAGCCAATTTACACATAGGCAGTATAGTGGCTGGAGTTTTGCCATATCATACAGACTGAGGCCTGTTGAACATCATTGATGGGCAAGGTGATTTTGCCTTCAGATAATGTATGGAGGATGTCCAAAAAGAATGCTGGGGTTCTGGTATTTCCTCAAATAGAATTTGCAAGGTCTCTGCTGTCTGTTTTATAAGGTCTTGAAATCATCATCAGAAGATGGTGGGGGAGACATAACAGCTTCATCTGGCAAGGAGGAGGATTTGCAGGAAGGTGGTGTTTTTTCTTCTTCTGCAGGTTCCTGCTGAAGGCTGGGGGGATGTACCACAGCATAAGAATATCTAGGGCGCAGGCACAGACCTGGGGGCAACCTGCAGCAGAACACCCAAAGCAACAATTCTCAAAGAGGAACAGAGAGACCTACTATCATAGGACTGTAGTCCATCCTCTGTCAATGCCAAATTTTTCCATATTTGTGAATGTTACTTTACTCACTTTCATCCCCTCGTGCTTTGGAGGAGGTTTCCATAAACATCCTCAAAGCAACATCACTTTTCTTCAGATCCCTTCTTAAAAAACTCTCCTTTGCTGCGATGCCTACAAAAAAAAATGACAACAGTTAGGGCTGTGACCACTTCCTAGCATTATGACCAGCATTGTCTCATGGTTTCCTTGTTCTCCCCCATCTGTCTGTATCCATCTGTTGTATCTTATTTTATACTTATCTTTGGGGTTGGGGCCATCTTTTGTTCTGTGTTTGTACAGAACCTAGTACAATGGCATCCTGATGTAAGGCACTAAGGTAATCAAAATAAATGAAATAAACTTCTCAGTCTTGAACTACCATAGTAATTCCTCACCCTCTTCACAGTGTTTCAAATACCTCTCTCTTTTATGCCACCATATTGTTTTCATAGAAACATAGAATCATAGAATATCAGGGTTGGAAGAGATGTCAGGAGGTCATCCAGTCCAACCCCCTGCTCAAAGCAGGACCAATCCCCAACTAAATCATCCCAGCCAGGGCTTTGTCAAGCTGGGCCTTAAAAACCTCTAAGGAAGGAGATTCCACCACCTCCCCCTAGGTAACTCCCTAGGTTTTACAAGTCAACATTGAATTTGTTGACCATTATACGTGCTTAGGAGTCTTTCCCTAAATTAGAGTTGATCATTAGAGTGAAACACTGCATAGCTGGGCTTCACATTAGTATCTGCCATCTGCACTGACGTACATTTTTCAAGGCTTCATTTTTACTAAAAATCTCATTGTCCTATTGCTAAGCATCCTGATAGTATAGTGCACAGTTTTACCCCCCCAAATGTTCAGGTTTGATCAAATATGTGCACTTCAAGTACGATTTTTTCCCCCCATTAAATTGAACAAAATGTCTATTTGTACATCAAGAACATACAAACATGCAAATTTTAACTTACACATTCTGAATTTTGAAGGCACCTTTCCCTTGGACTGTGTCCATGTTCACTTGTAGGGGTTCATTTTTGAGGGAATAAATAATTGTTACATTTCTATACAAAAAATAATATTTTTGAGTTAGTAAAGAAATGCAAAAAAAAATCCTTAACATTTAATAAGATTATCTTTTCATTGAAAATATTTTACATCTGATTTGCACAGAGGGCAGTTTTTTCTTTTTTCTGTCCTCATCTCTCTTTGCAACACTTCCTAGTTAGGCATATCATCTGTCAATTTAATTAACATGCTGTTTAGCTCTCTTTTCAGATTATTAATCAATTAATCATGCCCTGGGGCTCTCTACTGGACACCTCCCTCCTATCTTTTCATATTGTATCGTCAGGAAGTTTTCAGTTCACATGACACTGTTCATACTTACCCTATTTTGGCACTATATTTCCTCCTGCTGCAATGAATTTATTAGGTATTATTGTTCATAAGCATCCTTATTTTTCCAGCTAAGAACGGGAAACAGAATGTCTTGTTTATTGAGGTCCAGTTCTGGGCACCACATTTCAGGAAAGAGGTGGACAAATTGGAGAAAGTCCAGAGAAGAACAAAAAAGAAAGGTTAAAGGTCTAGAAAACATGATCTATGAGGAAAGATTGAAAAAATTGGGTTTGTTTAGTCTGGAAAAGAGAAGACTGAGAGGGGACATGATAACAGTTTTCAAGTATGTAAAAGGTTGTTACAAGGAGGAGGAAGAAAAATTGTTTTTCTTCAACTCTGAGGATAGGACAAGAAGCAATGGGCTAAAATTGCAGCAAGGGAGGTTTAGGTTGGACATTAGGAAAAAAATTCCTATCATCTGGTTAAGCACTGGAATAAATTGCCTAGGAAGGTTATGGAATCTCCATCATTGGAGATTTTTAAGAGTGGGTTAGACAAACACCTGTCAGGAATGGTCTAGATAATTAGTCCTGCCATGAGTGCAGGGAACTGGACTAGATGACCTCTCGAGGTCTCTTCCAGTTCTATGATTATTAGTTAAATTAGAGAAGATGGGGATCAGTGCAATTTGTGGATTAGGAGCTGGCTAATGGAGAGAAGGCAATGGGTTGTGTTGAAATGTGAAATATAGAACTGGAAGGACATTGCAAGTTAAGCTCCTCAAGAATCAGTTTTGGGGCCACTGTTATTCAATATTTTTATTAATGACCTTGGCATGAGAAGTAGGAGTGTGTGAATGAAATTTGCTGATGATACAAAGTTGGGAGGCAATTGTCGATACAAAAGAGGTTTGGAACGTTATACAGGACACTACTTGAAGACAGTAGTGACAGAAATGAGACAAAATTCAATAGTACAAAGTGCAAGGTCATGTACAAAGGGTACAATAATAAGAATTTCTGTTACAAGCTGGGGGCTCATCCACTGGAAGTGAAAGAAGAAGCGAGAGACCTGGGTGCATGACTCAGTCACAGGATGACTATGAGCCACCAGTGTGATGCTACTTGAAAAAGGCAAATGCTATCCTAGGATGTATCAAGCAAAACATTTCTAGTAGAGCTAGAAAAGTATTAATGCCATTGTATAAGGCAATAGTAAGATCACATTTGGAATACTGTATACAATTCTGATCATCCATGTTCAAGAAAGATTAATTTAAACTGAAACAGGTGCAGAGAACAACTACTAGGATGATTGGGGAACTGAGGGGCTATCTGATGAGAGGAAACTGGAAGAGCTTGGGCTGTTTAGTCTAACAAAAAGAAGGCTGAGGGGGGATATGATTGATCTCTGTAAATAAATCAGGGAGTAAACAACAGGGAGGGTGAAGAGCAGTTTAAGCAAAAGACAATGTTGTCACAGGAACAAATGGGTATAAACTGGCCATGAACAAATTCAGACTGGAAATTAGAAGAAGGTTTCTAAACATCAGAGAGATGAGGTTATGGACTAACCTCCTACTAGGAGTTGTGGGGCAAACAACTTGATTAGTTTCAAGAAAGAGCTGAACCAATTTATGACTGTGTTGTTTGACACGATTGCTTGCAATGGTAGTGGGGCAGGGCTCAATTGCCCTGTGGCTCCCTTCCAGTTTTTGTCTTGTGTTCCTAATAGTGTACGCTTCAGGGTTTCAGCTGGCCACCAGAAAGGGATTCCTGTCACTCCCCCCACCAATGTATTCTGTTTTGTTTTCTTTTTTAGAAGTCTCCTTCTTCTGAAGCATCAGAGATGGCCATGACTGGAGATGAGACACAGGATGGGGTGAGCCAGGGCTCTGAGGTAGCACAGAGCATTCTGTCTCTCAAGTGCTTGGCTGGCTGGTTCTTGCTCACATATGCTCAGGGTCTAACTGATTGTCATGCGGGGTTGGGAACGAATTTTCCCCTAGATCAGATTGGCAGTGACCTTAGGGGGGGTTTCACTTTCCTCTGCAGCATCTGGATGCGGGTCACTTGCCAGAATTATCTGTATATATCTCACTTATTCATTTCCCTCCCATTGCAGGGGCCTTGGACATTGGTGCATCTTGGTCCCTTCTGTTCTCTCCTGATGACACATAATAATCTAGTCTCCTGTGGGCTGTAATACTTTGGTCTAATTTAGGTTATTGAGTTTAGTGTGCAGTGCTGGGCAGTGTTGGTGGTCTGTGATACACAGGAGGTCAGACTAGATGATCTGGTGGTCCCTTCCGATCTTAAATTCTAAGACTCAGTGACACTCAGTAAAGAACGAGATAGCTACCTGCTTAGTAGCTCGATTAGCATTGTGGAATATCACTACCCCATTATTCTACAACGTAAAATACAGTGGCTCATGGAACTTGAAGCTAGATAGGACAGAGATTTGGGTTTTGAATGTGTTAGAGAGTGGGAGTATTGGTCCCATGATATTCTGCAGCAGAGCAACTCTCAGCATATTGTTTTTAAATATATATGTTTTCACCTTTTTAAAAAAAAACAGGAGTGAAAAATCCTTATGTTCATCTTAACCAAACACGATTGCTAGACGTAGTAGCAGTCCAAGAGATAGGCTCAAGTTGGCGGTCAGCATGTGACATTAGGATGGTGAGGGGAATTGTGGCTCCTAGATACTACTAAAATTGCTTTGCTAAAATGTATTAACTTCTAAGCTAACCCATGCCTCTTATATTGTGTTGACTGTTATGTACTTTGCTTCTTTTTTTGGTATGTGCTCCAGCATTCATGGCCAAGTATGTGCTGGGCAGGTGCTTGGCCCACACACTGCACCCAGCTCTGGCATTTTCTCGCAGGTCTATTGTCTTGACTAATCTTTTCAAAGGCACTTTTTTAATCCCCCAGCTTCAGAGTTGGCTGCAAAATTGTTAGATTAATTCTTTATTGCTTCTTCGCCCCACTGAAGTAAGGCTCGGCTGTTAATTTTAGTCACCTTGTGAATCTTAGTTTGTAAGTAACCAAACTGTTCCATCGATAGTGGAGTCTCTCCGAAGGCTTAGTTCTGAATTGCAGTATATACATCTCAACATTTTGGGGGGTGCCACACGTGGATTTTCAAAAAGGAGGATCCTTCTGAAGCATTCAGATCTGAACACGCCTGAAAGTTAAAGAGATCTAGAGCTCAGGTTCCACTTTTGAGTCATCTCTAAAAAAACCAATAGAGGCAATACCATCAAGAGTTCAGAGATTCTGTCTTCTCTACAGGACTAACTACATCAGGAAACCATTTAAAATATACATTTGAAACAAATATTTCCAGCTCACATGGATCAGTTCCTAGTATTTAAATGATATTTAAAAACCATTTTATAGATTAGATAATATGTTGATTGGCAGCAAAATAGTGTTAGCTGAAATAATTTTTAAGTTAGTTTTCTAACCCCGTCCTTCCGGGAATGTATTTGAGACACATGGAAAGCTCCTTTAGATTGTTTATTGTACCAAATGGTTGAAACCCTGCCTCCACTGAAAACTCCCATTGGCTTATTAGGTAAAATGAACAATAAGAACTATAAGACATAGCATTCATATAGCATTTTTATCCATGTATCTCAAAGCTTATAACAAAGATAAGTAGACATATCCCATTTTACAGATGGAGACATTGAGAGCTTATGTGACTTGCCTGCAGAGTCAGCTGCAAAACTGGAACAGAACCAAAATCTCCGACTCCCAGTCTGTTGCCCTATCATGCGCTCTACTCTGCCTTTGAGTCAAGCTGAGGTTGCGTTGGCTGTCTCAGGGATTTCATGAAATTTCCATGGGAGGTCATTATAAGTAGGGCTCCATGTCTGTCATGGAAGTTATGGATTCCGTGACTTTCCACGACCTACATGATTTCTGGAGTGGCCAGTGTGGCTGACCACAGGACCGCCCAAACACTTGGCTCCGGGGCCAGCTGCTCAGGTAGCTCTGGGGACAGCCACACTAGCCGCTGCCTGGGTGGCCTCTCAGCAGCGGTCCCAGGGCAGCCAGAGCAGCCGTGATCCATGGCCCCAGGCAGTGGTCCATGGGCAGCCAGCTGGAGCAGCAGCAGTCCCCCCCAGCCCCAGTCAGCAATCACCAGGCGGCTGCCCCGGCAGCGGTTCCCGGGCGGCTAGCTGGAGTAGCTATGACCCCAGCAGCAGTCCCCGGGAGGCCGGCTGAAGCAGCTGTGGTCCACAGCCCCTGGGAGTGATTACTGGGCAGCTGGCCGGAGCAGCCACAGTCCACAGCCCCCGCCAGCTGATGACACTGGCCTTGGGCATCCTCCCCTCTCCCCCCACAGCAGCGCCCCCACCCCGGGACGTCTTCCGCCCCAGCAGCGCCCCCCCATCCCCAAGATATAGTCACAGGTGTTTTTAGTATAAGTCATGGACAGGTCACAGCCGTGAATTTTTGTTTACTGCCTGTGACCTGTCCATGACTTTTACCAAAAATACCCATGAGTAAATTGTAGCCTTAATTATAAGTAGAATTGATATGGCCACCAAGTGTTCATTGTTTGTCTGTACCAGAAACATACCTACACTACTTCTGACAGATTGCTACAGTACTGGCAAATGCAATCCCTGAAACAGGTCTCCATAATTTTAAGAAACGGACAGAACAAAAACAAAAAACCTCCTCCACAACCCCAAGTAGATTTATAGCATCCTGGTTTTAAACAGATGAGCAAGAAGAAAACTACCAGCACTGTTTTCAGAGTAGCAGCCATGTTAGTCTGTATCCGCAAAAAGAACAGGAGTACTTGTGGCACCTTAGAGACTAACAAATGTATTAGATCATAAGCTTTCGTGGGCTACAGCCCACTTCTTCAGATGCATATAGAGTGGAACATATATTGAGGAGATATATATACACACATACAGAGAGCATGAACAGGTGGGAGTTGTCTTACCAACTCTGAGAGGCCTTTTGAAGTTTTTCTGTTGTAAGATAGACACCGCAGGTCTGTCATTGAATGGCCAGACAGGTTAAAGTGTTCTCCCACTGGTTTTTGAGTATTATGATTCCTGATGTCAGATTTGTGTGCATTAATTCTTTTGCATAGAGACTGTCCGGTATGGCCAATATACATGGCAGAGGGGCATTCCTGGCACATGATGGCATATATCACATTGGTAGATGTGCGGGTGAACGAGCCCCTGATGGTATGGCTGATGTGATTAGGTCCTATGATGATGTCACTTGAATAGATATGTGGACAGAGTTGGCATCTGTGGGTGGCTATCTTACAACAGAAAAACTTCAAAAACAGACTCCAACGAGAGACTGCTGAGCT